ATAGTAGACTACGGCATATTCGACTATAGCAAATAACAGTAGTATAATTATATAGAGCGAAGGGATATTTATAGGTAAAAAGGTCGTAAAGAAGGATTTAGATATAATTTAAAGATATTTAGAGGTTCTAAAAGTTAAGAAAACTAAAAATAAAAATCCACTACACATTTAAACTTATTTAACGCACTATCGCTCGTATTAAACCCCCCGTATAAAGTAGAGAGAGAAGGTCGTAGCACTTATTTAAGACCTGTTTATCCGATCTAGGGTGCACTTATTACCCTTACTAAAGACATTCCGATATACGTAATTTCCGTAGGCATCGTTCTTACTGCCCTTCGCGACTACGCACTCCTACTATTATTAGCCTCTACTACTATTATACGGGCTGCTCGTAATAAGACATACCTTAAACGGGCCCTTCTACTAGATATATAGGCCGTATCGCTTATTATTTCTATCCCTCGTCCGATTGTTATACTAGTTAACTCCGCTATAGTGCTATTAGCTGCCGGTATTAATTCTAGGAGCTATTATACTAACCGGCTCTAAATAAGGAGAGCAGCTATTATAGTCTAGTCGAACTTTATCGGGGGGAAGTCGGGGGTGCGGTAGAGGAAGAGGGAGCCTTTAGCCTTATCTATTAGCTCGCTAGCTATAAGGTCGAACTAGAAGCCGGCTACTTAGAGCTAGTTTATACTAGTTAGTCTCGTAGTCCTAAGCGCTATTATCTAACCTTTTACCTCTTACCTTATCGCTACGAACGTCGATCTAACGCTATAGCTCTAGGCTAGCTAGGCTAGCGTCGACAGATTTAGGTATATAGGGAGCTATTTAGTAGTAATTCTACTTTATACTAGGAGATAGGGAGGAGGTTAGAGGGTATAGTAAGGTATAGGAGTGTTAAATAATATATTAGATATTAAAGTAAGGTAGATCGTATTTAAAGATAAAGAAGGAATATAAGCAGTAGTCTTATACTCCTCGTAGGCATTACCCGCACGCGTATAAAGTTATATAAATTACTTATTAGGTACACTCTACGCTCCCCGGGTCCTATTATTACCGCGTATTCGGCGGATAACCTAGACATATACGATTATTATTAGTATTCGGTTACGAAGTAATAATAGTAAGGTAATTATTCCCCTACGGGAAATATATATATAATAGATATAGGGAAAGGCTTTATACTTTTAGGATCCGTAGAGCTAATCCTTAAAATATTTTAAAATATTGCCTATTTAGGAAGGAGGTTTTTAATATTAAGGATTAGCTATATTATAAACGTCTTAAGTACGATAACTCTCTCTACTAATTATACGGCAGAGATACGTAGAGAGAATGCAAGGACACCTAGATATATATTTTAGATTAATAATTAGAAAATGCCGATYTTAGAAGGAGGAACAAGGAGCTAAATTAAAATTATATTTCTCTCGAATTACGCTCTATAAACCCTAACCGCTACTAAGATACTATTATATAGCCCGCCGGAGAAGGTAGTCTCTACTTTCTACCTCCTCTAGTGCTCTTCCGCATCCTCTTCTTAGGCTCTACCTCGGGCTTAATATAATACTCTACTATCCTAGCCGCACGCGCTAGCGCCGATATGCTTCTCGTTCTAGTCTTGCTAAGGATTATACTTAGTAGCTTCTCTACCTCCTCCTCTATCGACGAGTCTAAATACTCGTTCTAGATATTATAACTACATTCGGTCGCCTAATCTTAAAACTTACAATTTCCGTAATAATTGTAGAAGTAATTGCGCTAGATTATATAGTGCTACCTCTGTTAGTATATAGTATCTTTATACGGGAGAATAATAGAGGTCTTATACCTAGAACGGGCCCTTGCCCGCTAGGCACTAGGTATATAGCCCGCTAGTAGTAGGGTGTGCGCTAGCACCTATAACGCTACCGCTACGAATCTATTAGCAAGGATGCTTAGACCTTAACTAGAAATAATTATACTAACCGGCTCTAGATAAGCAGAGAGGTTATATATAACTAACGATACTTAATACGCTTAGCTAGGTCCTACGTAGGATCCCTTATCGAAAACCGGTAGCTAGCCTTAT